TCAGACCTTTTGTTTTTTTTTTTTTTGCTATTTTCAAAAAGCAATTTTTCAAAAGTGAGTGACCTAATCAGTTTTTTTTACTGTTTTTTTTTTTTTCAAAAATAAATATTAATGTTATGTTTGGATGCAAGAAACGACGGATAAAAGAAACTTCCATTGTTTTGTTAGAAGGAAAGGAAGTAAGAATTCCTAGAAGCCAATATTTTAAAAGGCTTTTTTATCCAAATTGGGCCGAAGAGAGGAGAGAAAAATAAAAAGGCTAATTTACAAATATGTAACACCAATTTAATCTTTAATTATTTACAAAATCACTTATTAAACCCTACTTAAATTTATGTGACTTAGGTCACTTGAGACTAAGACTAATTTGAAAGGAAAACACCACAAATAAAAAGCACTTATGACCAATTAGCCCCACAAGTGAGAGAGTAACATGGAGAGAGAGAGAGAGAGTATTTGGTAGTAAAATAATTAACATTTGGTAGTAAAACTATTTTTAGACAACCAAATAGTTTTTTGAATTTTTATTCTCTGAAAACTGTTTTGTAGTTTTACCAACTAAGTAGATTTTTAAACTGAAAAAAATGAAAACTGTTCTCTGTTCTCGTTCTCTAAAAATTGTTCTTGAAAACAATTTTGAAAGAACAAAACCAAGTAAGGCCTAAAATTTTCAAATCAGACCTTTTGTTTTTTTTTTTTTTGCTATTTTCAAAAAGCAATTTTTCAAAAGTGAGTGACCTAATCAGTTTTTTTTACTGTTTTTTTTTTTTTCAAAAATAAATATTAATGTTATGTTTGGATGCAAGAAACGACGGATAAAAGAAACTTCCATTGTTTTGTTAGAAGGAAAGGAAGTAAGAATTCCTAGAAGCCAATATTTTAAAAGGCTTTTTTATCCAAATTGGGCCGAAGAGAGGAGAGAAAAATAAAAAGGCTAATTTACAAATATGTAACACCAATTTAATCTTTAATTATTTACAAAATCACTTATTAAACCCTACTTAAATTTATGTGACTTAGGTCACTTGAGACTAAGACTAATTTGAAAGGAAAACACCACAAATAAAAAGCACTTATGACCAATTAGCCCCACAAGTGAGAGAGTAACATGGAGAGAGAGAGAGAGAGTATTTGGTAGTAAAATAATTAACATTTTCACGATTCATATGCGCACACAAATCGGGACAAATTGAATTTAATTGAAGAGAGAAAGAAAAAAGATTAGGGCTAGTGAAGGCAAATTGCTACAACCGAAATATATATATATATATATATATAGTTACAGAGAGAGAGAGGAGAGAGAAATATATTTAGTGCAGAAAGAATAAGAATTGAAAAAATAAATAAGAGTACCAACCACAAGGGACGTATTGAGCACTGATAGTGATGTTGTACTGGAAAATGTAGTTGTTGCCAGAGAAGACATGGATGCTCTGGATGTATAAGACAAACCCAGCACAAGATTTACAATAATGCCCCACCACTGAGACATTTTTTTCCTTCTTTCTTTGTTTGTAAATATAAACCAAATCTTTACATCAATAATTAAGAGGTGATTTGAATCCTCAATATTTAAAACCCATTAATGCAAACTTAAATGGTGATGACGTGATTGACTGACAACCTGTAAAATTACTTCATCAACCCCTTCTTCATTCATCAAATTTGGACGCTTATCAACACAACTATTATTATGAAATTCCAATATTTGTCCTACTAATTCAAACAAATGGGTAAATTCTACTTACTCTACATTTTATAACTACACATACCTTTTTTATCAAGTCATTCAACTCATGGGGATGTGATATAATAGTCCAGTGGCCGAAGGCCCAAGTTCAAATCCTTACTCTATCGTCATAAACTTACTGGAATGTGTTATTTTATCATTTTCATAATAAAAATATATGCTATCATTTTAGACTTTAAAAGAGGCAAAACTAACTTTTTATTAATTTTCTGTCATTAGATAATTATGTTTTTTTTTTTCTGGCACCAGAACTCATCTGCCCAGGTTACAAACCAGGGATGTTGTTTACGGCTCCACACTTCGGCAACAATTTCAATCGAGTGTTATAATGGCGATGGACGAGTTCGAACTTGGGACATGAGCGCTCTCAGGTCGTTATCTTACCAACTCGGTCAAGTCCGGGGCATCAAAAAATAATGTTGTTTTGTTAATCTGTTATATAAACCAAAATATAAGTGTAGATAAGTGTGATTGTGAAATTACTTCATCAACCCTTAATTCCATTCAACAAATTTAGAGGTTGTATCAACAACTAACTATTATTATGAGATCCCACTATTTATTTGTCTTGTTAATTTAATCAAATTGAGTCAGCCTTTGTTTAAAAAAGTGCGTTGAACTAATACATATTCTGTATTATTTATTCCATCATTACATTATTAAAAACACAAAATAACAAAATGCAACCAAACGCCCTCCTAAAAGTGAGCATTTTAAGTATTTTAAATGAAAGACCCACCTTAACTTCAATGGAACGTTGTCTCCATCACAAGCTTAAACAAGTCACGAGATTGAACACCTCACCTACAAATCATAGCATAATATAAAACTTTAATGCTTAAATTCTAAGGTGGACATATCATGATCCTTTAAATAACATTCTATACTGCAATGGAACATTATTTTGGTGCCTTCTTGCATTATACTGTGGTTTTTTTTTTTTTTTTTTCTTCTTAGAATTGCAATGCATCAATATATTAATTCAACGTAGAAGTCTACCCTATTTATGGTCCATGACTCTAGGCCTTGTTTGGTATGCATTTTGTTTCTACTGTTTTTGTTTTTAAGCTACTACAGTGTCAATTTTGACAACAAAAGCATATTTGATGTGGTCTTGTTTTATTTTACACAGTGCTAAAACACTTCGTGAACAGTGGGTCAAAACCAAAACACCAAAAAGATGTTTTACAACTGTTCATGACTCAAAACTATAACTGTGCATGTTTTTGTTTCCGACATTTTCACAGCAAAATATCGTTCCTAAACGTGTTTCCGATTTTTTTTCGAAACACTCCTAAAACAAAAACACTATTTACGTTTTAGCCAAAAACAAAACGCTTAAAACAAAGTGCATGCCAAACAGGCCCTAAAATAATTCCGAAAGAATAGAGATAAATAGTCTGAAACTAAGACACACAATTATTCTAAACAGGTGCCCTCTCGTTCTCCTGCACATGTTCTCACTCTTGTTTTTCGCTCACGCTCTTACTCCCGATCCTATTATGCGTGGTTTAAATTTTGTCACTTTCACGCTCCGACTCTTGTATTCGCTCCCGCTCCGACGCACACTCCGCAAAACTTAGATCCGAAAGTCTAGACACATGTTCTCACTCTTGTTTTTCGCTCACGCTCTTACTCCCGATCCTATTATGCGTGGTTTAAATTTTGTCACTTTCACGCTCCGACTCTTGTATTCGCTCCCGCTCCGACGCACACTCCGCAAAACTTAGATCCGAAAGTCTAGACACTGAAAAACAATATTATCGTGATGTCGTCCGATGGAACTAAGATAAGATCACAGCATCTAAATTTAATTTCTGTTTTTAATACTATGGTCCATGTTGAAATTTGAAAAAGTTTATTAAATGTTTTACAGAATATTAATCTTTTTCATCCTATCAACATTATTTTAGGAACTTGCATTCTCAACCTTTACTTTAAATGCAATGTAGAACTCGATTAGACTCCATTCATGAGAAGGGTTATTAATTTAATACATTTAAATCATACAATTTGTAAAAAAACTCAAGGTTATTATTTTTTCAAATGAAAAATACAAAACAAATTTACACGCTTGAGTTTTAGGTAAACTATTAGATTTAATATATATATATATATATATATATATATATATATATATAATTTTTGGCCTTCTGGTTTTAGTTGCTTTTTATATATATTGTATGATGGATAGCCTATTTCTTATAGATCACTGAACAATAAAACATGGAATGATAACATGATTATTGTTAAAAGTAGAGTAGAGTACTTATGAAAGACTTTTTATAAGTATTCTAAAAAATTTGACTAAACCTTTGCTCATTAAAATACTTTTGGCTACTTTAATAAAATTTTTAATAGTAAAAAAATGATGAAACCATTATAGCACAAAGCTAACGTATGATGTAAATATCGCCATGTCTACTAGAAATTAATGAAGTTATCGAAGGATACTCCTATGATCCTATCTTATTTGAATACCTTTTAAAAAATGTTTATACTTGAATATAATTGAGCTTAAATAAATAAATACGATTGTATGCTTACTTTTAGGATAAAATAATACTATTCACTTGCTTGAAATACATACATATATATATATATATATATATATTTCAAGCAAGTGAATAGTATTATTCCCATTATGGTATGTTTAGTAGTATAAAAAAAGCAAAAGGATATTTGACCTTCTATTAATGTTTGTTTCATAAACAAATTAAACCTCATCCAAAGCAAGATTACTTCGTTTATTAATTATTTAAAAAACTAAAGAAAAAACATATTAACTTTGAAGAATTTACAGGATGCTGTAGTTAAGGAATACTTATTCTATTTAATTTTGAAGTCTCACGAGAAAAGAAAAACATATTAATGCTATATAATTGAAAAATGATTAAAAGACCGATTAGTTTGGCCTATTATCAAAGTAAATTTAGTAATTAAGATCATTGATTGCCTGGGATCCTACTAATATCATGATTTTTCATAAATTTTCAAAATTACCTTTTTTGGACCGTTACCAGACAATTTTTTTCCTTTCCTAGGAAAATTAAAATTTGGTGATTTTTTCATGAAAATAAAATACCTTTAAAAAAAAGAAAAGGACAAGGTAGAGATTGCATTCAGACATAAAACCAAGAAATAGGCAGGCAGGCATGAAAGAGATGAAATTAAATTAAATTAAATTAAAGACGTAAAAGAAGATATCAAGATATGAGCGAGAAAGATTCGGACGTTTTATAGACTAGAGATGGAGATGATTTAACTAATAACCAACAGAACTTAAATTTAACATATTACCTCGTTCCCTCTACTATTTGTCTAAACTTTTTGCCTTTCCTTCCCATATTTTCTCTCTCTAAGCTCTCTCTCTCTAGTCCCGAGCACCAACAAGCTTGGTATCAACGACCACCCCTTTGAGTCAGCTACCCATTAAAGTTTTTTTCCCTTTTTTTTTTGTGTCGGTGGCTGGTTAACTCGAGATTTAGCTAAAAGATCTGAGAGAAACACACAGATCTTTGTTGTTTATTGTTTGAACACATATATATACACCTTTGATTTCTGGGTTTTTGTTGGATTTGTGATGGGTTGGAAATATAAGGCTGGTTTGTTCCTAATTGCTGCTGTTGTTATCATTTGGGTCACCTCTGCTGAAGTTACCCAGGTCAGTAGTTCTCCTTTGATTTATTTCTTCTAGGAATTAAATTTATATTTTTGGTATTTTTTTTAATTTTATTTTTGTATGCATATGTATACAAATATATGTTGAGATTACATAAATTTTCATAATATTGCTAAATAGATGTTTGGTTTGTGTTTGGTGGATTGGGTGTTCTTGTTTTTGATTGATACTCCTGTGAAGTTTTGGGGTGTTTGACTGGTAGAGTTTGGGCATGTGTTGTACATATCCATTAGCTGAATATCCCATTGGGGTTTCAATCAGTAAAGTTAAAGTTACATAATTGGATTCATCATTTAAAAACTTTATGAACTTCATAGAAATAAGTCAATAACTGAACTTCACGGCCATGCTCCTTTTAATTGCTGGGAAACTGAAAGAAGATGAAATAATATGTAGAAGAACCATAGTACTTTTCAGTATTAAGATTTCTGGAAGAAGTAAACATCAGTGTTGTTGCTGTTGCTGTTGCTGTTGTATTAGTGTTTGGCTGCAAGTTTCCTTTACTTTTTATTTTTATTTTTTATGCAATGAAAAATTGGGCTATTATATTTGATGGTAAACTCAAATGTCAGTAATCCCAATAAAATCATGCTTGCTTGGGTTAAACTAGTTTGTAATTACATTTTGGATTCAGAGATATAATAAGCTGTCATTTAAATTTATTTTAGTGCAAAACCCCATCACAATGTCAACTTTTTGTGTCTTAGACGTGGCAATATAATTATCAGAAAAGAGCAAGAAATATTCTGAACTTCAAATTCTGGTCTAAGGGGGAAATCATATTACATTTGGGAAATTGTTTAAAGAATCAAATTGGACTGTACTTATGCTGACTCCCCACCCTACAAGTAGATATTGGGTGCGCCGGGCATACTAGGTCATCGGTATGCCTGGCCAATGAAAATCAATATAGTAGTTAGTGGAGAAAAATAATCAAAAACAGGTGGGACCAATTTCCTAGAATGATGTATTTCTATTGTCTGTTGTTAAATCCATTCTCATAACACCATCCCATGCCCCATCCTTTTACAGAATTTTATACTGGTCATTTGTTAGTTTTTATGAAGCATCAATGAAGAATTGGAATTTTTATGTATTTGACCCCCTGAAGCCTGCAGTTTTATGAATTTTAAGATTCTTAACAAATTTTTTTTTTGGGTGCTCATATGCACAATATTTTAAGAACTTGTAATAATTTCTATAGATGTTTTTGGCAAAGTGGTGTTCCTTGTGTCATCAATTGATGATAAAAGATGCCTGCTTTCTTTTTTCCCTTGTTAAAAAAATGATTAATTAATCCATTTGTCTGCTGATTTATTGTTTTCTTATGATTAAGTTGCTATTCTTGTGCATAATATTTATTCTGTTACATAAACTTCTGTGTGACACAATATTTGTAAAGTGACTATGTTTACTTAGATATATCATTTCAACAGGGTATTTATACAAACTATAAGCAGCCATTTGCAGTGACGTATCTTGGAGCTTCTCTAATGGTGGTCTATCTTCCAATAGCATTCATTAAGGATTGGATATGTAATTCACTAAGAAAATGCTCTGGTAAAAGTGCAGCAATGGGTGATGAGTCATCTGCTGGACTTAACTCTCCTTTAAAATACATTGGGGGGCATAAAATCTTTGAAACGGAACTTCAAGGGAATTTGAATAGAAAAGACAGTGAAGCAGATCTTTCTGCTCAGGAAGAGGGAAAGCTGTTGCTTCCTAATCGCAAAGATGATACCGACATGCTAAAACAAGATAAGGAGCTTACGACCAGGGAGATTGCTACTTATGGATTTTACATTGCCCCTATCTGGTTTATTACGGAGGTAACTAACCATGTTGTGTTATTTCTTCAAGATATCCCTTTATTCAAGTTTGGTTTGTGAAGCATCTAACTTGAACTTGTGTGTGGTTTGTGGAATTTTTTTATTTTTTATTTATTTTTTATATATATAAAAATTTGAAAGAGAAGGAAAAGAATCTCTCTAATTTTTTTCCTGCTTCGAAGTGTTCCTTTAAAATAGTACCTCTTTTTTATCATATACTTTGTCTGAAATGTCAGTCCTTGCAACATGTTCAAGATCTAAACGTATCAATCTTGTCATATACACCTCTTTACCTAAGGTTAGGATTCTGGAGATTAAACATTTCAATCTTGTCATGGTTTCCTTAATACATAAAACCTTTTGAAATCAGTTTGTTTCCCACAGTTCCTATTGTTCATACAAGGGAAGGGTTAAAAAATATGTTTGTCTGGCAGATATGCTTGGCTGTATCAGAAAGAACCCAAGGTGAATGGTGTCATTCGGCCATTTAGTGCGCCATTTGATAATTGGCTTAAATGTCATGGCTTGGAAATCCAAATTAGGCTATCTTTGGACCAGGGTCTGCATGGGTTGTTGAGTCTTGATCGCATGTCGCAATGCATCAACACATCCACACTTCGGAATGTTGACTATGGTTCACACTCATGAAGTTGGTCTAATCAAAGTATCAATACAAATACATATTATATTTAAACACTTGTAAGATCAAGTGGTGCTCATTTGAAACCATGTGAAGCTATATCTCCTGAGTTGCCTTGGTGCTACCAATATGACTCGCTCAACCTGTATCGCTATTAGATAAGTGTCCTGAGTTGCCTCGTTGCTACCAATATGACTCGCTCAATCTGTATCGCTATTAGATAAGTGTCGGGATTCATTGTGTGATATTTATTGATAGAGTATCATTTTGGTTCATTATGGTATTGAGTATCTTTATTGGATTAGAAACCAGAAATTCGTCTCAGTATCAGGCTATATGTCTTGGTATAAAACACTGCGAACAATGCTTGTATATACATAAGCATATGTGCATGGTATATTATTAATTTACTCAGCATATTTATCTGAGACTTCGTAGCATTATTGATTTATTCATCCCTCCCTTACCAAATGAAAACTATTTCCTGAAATGTATTTCATTTCTTCCTGATCATAGTTTGGGTTGATGCGATTACTAACCCGGAGTACTCGCTTCTTGTTTGTTGCTTTGCAGTATTTATCAAATGCCGCACTTGCGCGAACAAGTGTTGCAAGTACAACAGTATTGTCCTCAACTTCAGGACTGTTTACTCTTTTCATTGGTGCATTTCTTGGACAAGATTCTTTGAATGTATCAAAGGTAGTTGCTGTCTTTGTCAGCATGGCTGGTGTTGCCATGACAACTCTTGGGAAAACTTGGGCCACAGATGAGTCACAATCAAATGATTCTTCGTGAGTCTTTCCTCTTCCTCTATCCCTGTTGAGTTCATTTTAAGATCTGTTTGTTCATCAGTACTGTTGGATTTTGACGAAAGCTCTATTTCTTTATAAATAAATAAAAAGGTTGGATTTGGCATGTTTTGGTATGCATACTTGATATGGTGAATCATTGTCGTATGATTTGAGGCCTCAATAGAAAGCCTTCCTAAAAATCGGCACAAAATCCCTCATTTTGAACATTAGGATTTATGAAGAACATATTCCAAAATCATTCATGTCACCAATACCGTTTTAACAAGATGTTCTTAGAAAGTATTCTTCGTCTTCCCCAGTAGCAAATGCAGCTTTAATTCCTTTTATGTTCAGTAGACTGTATTACTAATAATGATGTTGTACAGCATACCCTATATATAAAAAGTAGTTAACTTCAAGGGGTTGGCTCAAGTGGGTAAGAACTTGGCCTTGGTGCCCCAGGAAGCATCAGGTCTAAGGTTCAACTCCTCTTGGGTGCAAACTATTTCTTGGCCTGGGGCCGGGGGGGGGGGGGGGGGGGGTGTGGTGGGTTTGTGTGAGTATCAACTAGGAATATATATACACACACACACTTTATAAAGTAGTATCTATAAATAGAAAAAGAGAGATTCAAATTAACGCTGTTTTATATTGATGAGTCATGTTATGGAACTTTGGACGAAATTGTTTGAACAATGACAGATACATGATATAATAGTGTTGGAAAATCAATTTGGATTATGTTGGGGCCAGGTCAACAATACAGTTATTTACTTACTGTGGAGACTAACTGAAAGCATAAGAAGTGGAAGAAAAAATCTTCATAGGGTTTTTATAAATTTGGAGAAAGCCTATGGTTGGGTTTCAGAAGATATAATATGGTGGGTTTTGAAAAAGATAGGAGTCAAAAGTATCTATATTGACATGGTATAGGATATTTATGATAGAGCTTTTACTATGGTAAGAAAATTACAGGAGAAATAATCGTATCTTTAATTACTGTAGAATTACATCTAGTATTAACATTAAACTTCTATTTTTTCCCTTGATTACAGATTAATTAAGAAAACACATACTGGATTTAGGTTTCATGGTCTGTGCTATTTGCTAATACTAGTGTTTTGGCCTATGCTCGATTATTCATAAATGGAAAGATTGGAGATTATATTTCTAATAGAACTAAAGCAGGATGTGTTAGATAGATCAATGTTTCTAGCATATTTTGTTATCAACGTATGCATCTAAAATTAAGAGTTAATTTTTTATAGAATTATTATTAGACTGACTATGATCTGTCACAGAATGTTGATAAGAAAACATGTTAATAAAATGAGCGCGGTCAAAATGTGATTGTTAAGATGGATGAGTGGTAGTATGAAAAAAATAAAATTGTAAATGATCATATTTGTAGACTGCTTGAAGTAATATACATTAAAGTTAAAATGAGAGAAAATCGACTAAAATGGTTTGGTCATGGGTAGAGAGACCCGATAATTTTATTACTGGGGCGAAGTGACATGGTCCATATTAAAGGTGGATGTTAGGGGAAGGTAGAGACCAAATTAACAAGGATTAGGATAGTAAATAAAGATATAATAGAGTGTGATTTAACTGGAATTATATGCTTAGATGAAGTATAAGTTAAGAAACATGATGCATGTACCCGACTCCCAATAGTTGGGGCAAAGGATTTGTTGAGTTGAGTTTATGGTCTACGATATATTTCTGATTTCTGTTATTATGCAAAAATAGGTTTCAGGAGGTTGGAAAATGGGCAGTTTGTGCAATGAGTTTTAATCTATTGAACTTTCTAAAGTTGACTTCTGTTCTGAGTTTTATTTGCTTATCAAAAGAATTGTAGAGCATGATTTCTGTGGCCAGAAGCTGCTCATGTTCCACTTCCATTATATGCGAGTCAGAGATAATAGAGGCCTTGCACATTATAAATGCATTTCTTTTCATTATTAAGCACTTAAAGTTCTTAAGTCATATTTGTGTTTCTTCATCAGTTTGTTTTTTGCATTGCATGTATCAGGGCATTGACTGACAGTTGAACTTTTTGTTTATTTTAAAGAAATGGGAAACACTCTCTTGTTGGAGATCTTTTTGGCCTTTGCTCAGCCGTGTCATATGGTCTATTTACTGGTCTGGTATCGTTTCGATATCTGAGTGCTTGTATATATTTTTGAAGTGTATATAACGATAATTATGCTAATACTCATTCTATAAATAATGCTTCAGTACTTCTAAAGAAGTTTGCTGGTGAGGAAGGAGAAAGAGTTGATGTGCAAAAGTTGTTTGGATATATGGGATTGTTTACACTCGTAGCATTATGGTGGCTTGGTAAGAGTGGTTTTATTAATATGTGCTTCTGGTCTCTCTGTTCTGTTTTTGCTTGATTCTGTTGCCCTATCTTGCATATTTTTCTCATCATATTAGGATACATATTCTTCTTGGGGCTCTAGTGAGAATTTAGTAATGTTACAAGATTAAGAAGAAAGAAATGTTGACCTATAGTTTCCCAAATGTATATATACTGTTTCTCTAGCCTCATTCTTAGAAGTTAGATTCTTTTGCGTCTTTTTGTCTTTCAAATAATGATTCCAGCAATGATGGCTCAACCCACCCCCCCCCCCCCCCCCCCCCCCCCCCCCCCCCCCCCCAAAAAAATTATAACGCTGGTAACAAATAAAAATGGGATCCTTGAGTGACGTGTTAACCCCGTGTTTATTCAAGGTCATTTAAGTATTTTAGGGAAGGGTTTCTCATAATACAAATGTGTTCCTTTGGCACCATCTTACATTTCAACTATTGGGATGGATAGCTTGTGTGACTAAGAATTATTCTTTTACATTTTGATTATGTTTAATGCTATTTGATGATGTTTATTTTCAATCCTTTCCTTTTATTTTAATCATGTTTGTTTACTAGAACTGTACTAAATTTGTTTGGTATTTTAATTTACTGTCATTGTATAATATTATCTTGTGGCATGCCATAATCATATGTATGTAGCAATCCTAGTATACTCCTAAATTTTCTTAACTCATAAACTACAGATACAAGGAATAAGCCTTAAGACCTATGCCTTGATCCTTGTGGCTTGTGTTCATCTTTATGCTTATGTCCTTAATGAACACTGTGTTCAATACATAGGGAAAAATTACTAAATAAAATACTAAATCCTTAATGTGTCCTCGAATTTTATTTAATAAAAAATGACTTAAAATTTATCAAGAGGTCGTATTTGCATCAAAGGCTCAGCCCAGAAAATTTTGGTGCCTTGGTGGAATGGTAGGTTAGAGGTGGCTCTGCGAGAGAAGGTATTCAAGAGGTTTAAGGATTTGAGATAAAATTGGTATTCTAATGGATATATTACTACATTGCTTCTCTCTCCCTGCTTGGATCTCTAACAATGCAATTGTCTTCATCCTTTTATTGGTCAGTGCACGCAAACTTAATTTAATTAAATTAGACTGACATACACTAGGTTAATTGGTCTGTGCATGTAAACTTAATTTAATTAAATTAGACTGACATACACTAAGTTAATCCATCTAGAAATTTGTTTAGGCAAATTACTTATCAATATATTGTTTAAGCAAATTAGTTGAACAATCAATGACAGAACATGCAAAAGTTCAAAGTGGAGCACTTTGATTGCATGATGTGACAATGCCATGCCAATCAAAGTTGTGTAATATTTGTCTCTAGTTTGGGTAGTTTGTATATTTGAGAGCCATAATTTTAAAAGGAAGTGCTCTGTTCAGATAAAAGCATCCGAGCAAGATTTGCTGTCAATTCACACAGTGAGGTTTTCTAATTCATAAATTGCAACCTGCTGGTAGTTTGGCAACTAGATGTTTCCAATTCTTTACATTTTTTTTTTTTTTTTTGATAAGTAAGAATTGTATAAAAACGCTCAAAAGGGGAGCGCATCCCAAAGGAACAACAAAAAGCAAAAATCACTAAGCCTTCAAATAGGCCAAAAAATCTACAATGTCCTCAATAGATCTATAATCTCTACCCGAAACCCAACAAAAAAGAGTGGAAACAATGGAGAATTTCAGAACAGAGATAGGTGACTCTTTTCCCTCAAAGTATCTCCTGTTTCTCTCAAGCCAAATGCACCACCAAATACAAAGAGGCGCAGCCCTCCATGCCTCTCGAATGTGAGCCCCCACAGAACAGCCTTTCCAAGCCTTAATCAAACCTCTAGAAGAGCCAGGCATGACCCACAGAAAACCAAACAGGCCAAGCATCAAATCCCAACATTCCTTGGCCAAAGGACAATGCAAAAGAAGATGGTCCACTAACTCTTCATCCCGATGGCACATATAACACCGATTAACCACCACCTGATTCCTTCTTCTCAAATTATCCTGAGTCAAAATCTTTCCCAAAACAGAGGTCCAAGCAAAAAAGGCCACCTTAAGAGGAGCCTTAGAACGCCAAACTGGCTTCCACGGGAAAGGACCTTCAGGCTCTTAAGTGAGACACCTGAAGAAGACCGCACTTCAAAGCGACCGTGAGCATTGGGAGCCCAAATCCAAACATCAGACTCTCCGACCATAACACCCTGCCGATACAACACCTCCAGAAGACGAATGGCATCGTCAACTTCCCAGTCCTAAAATAGACACCTGAATCAAACATCCCAAACCAATCTCCCATTATCAAGATGATAACAGTTGATCACCCTGGCTTGCTTATCCGAAGCAATCCTGAACAGTTAAGGGAAAGCAAGAGCAAGAGGGGTGTCCCCACACTAGACATCCTCCCAAAAACTAATCCGCCTACCATCCCTGAGACGAAACCGAACATGATTGGAAAAATCAACCCAGCCTTGACGAATAAACTTCCAAACCCCCACACCCCTAGGACCATGCACCTCAAGAGAGCAACACCTCCTCTACTCTCCCCAAATCTGCTCACCACGACCCTCCTCCAAAGCCAATGCCTCTCTACCCCAAACCTCCATAACCATTTCCCAAGGAAAGCTTTATTGAAAGGCACCAATCTTCTAAGCCCCAACCCTCCATACCGAATCGGCCTACAAACTTGCTCCCAATGAACCAGGTGAAACTTGAATTCCTCCCCTTCCCCCCCCCCCCCCCCAAACAAAAAATTGCGCTGCAAACGCTCAATCCTCTCTGCCACCGAGGAGGGAATCTGGAACGGAGAGATAAAATAGGTGGGAAGACAAGAAAGGGTACTCTTGATTAGAGTCACCCGCCCCCCTTTGGAAAGATACTGCTTCTTCCACCCCGCCAACCGCCTCTCAAACCTATCCACGACTGGATCTCAAACCCCCACACACCTCGAAGGAGCACCCAGGGGCAACCCTAAATAAGAAATGGGAAAAGAGCCTGCATGAACTGTTTTCAAGATGTTCTGGTTAATGATTGTTAAATTAGTCTGAACTTCTGATTTGATAAATATGCAAGGGCTAAAATTATTGATTTGGATTCCTCATAATGTAGAGATTCTGATTGCAAAAGGCGATTGAAGATTTAGTATTGTGAACATTAAAAGGGGAGAAAGTGTCTGGAACTCAAGAATTGTTAAATGATATATGTGCACACTCAAAAGCCTAGATATATATAATAAATAATCTTGCATGTGTAAGATCTGGATCAGAATGGTTTTTGAAGCTGACTTTGAGTCTAGCTTAGAGCTTTCATTTGATTAACTGTATGCAAGGAAGATGAAGTTTTGTTGAGAAATTGCCGATACAAAAATATGGTTCATTGTTGCACAAAAAATTATGTTCTTGATTATTCTTGACACCCATTGCCAACAATAACCAAAATGGCTAAAAATTAAAGGAAATATGATTGTGACAAAAAAGAACCAAAAACAGAAATTCTGCATGCCTTGTGTATATATCTTAGAATATTCAGAACAAATGAGAAAAAGAGAGAGAAGAACATTGAATGGATTATCCAAAACCTGCCTCCGCCACCGTAGCACGAACCATTTATGTTTCAACAGTCACTCCAAGTCTCAAGACATATAATCACTTCTTGTGAACATATTGCCTGAATAGTCTAGCAAAAAAGTTTCATGTAGCTGCCTGAAGTAAACGGGACTAAAGCCTTATTGACTCGAGTTAAGGACTATACAGTGAAATTGAAGACACATGGTATTGTTGGGGATATTAAACTCCCTCCAACCCACTCAATGGTCAGTTGTTGTTGAGACTTAAATCGCTTCTTCGTCACACATGGCAGAAGCATCATCATATCACATCAACACAAGCTATATATATGCATACCAATAAATGAAAAACGAAAATTTTGAAACACATATGTACAATGATGCTATGTATTGTAGTGTGCGGTAAGTTATAGTCTCTGCCAATCAAAATTGAACAATACAATATATAATACACTTTTGGTTTGGTCTGGTCTGGTCGGGTTTGCTATTTTCAAAATGAGGTTTCAAACTCATCTTCTGCATTCCAAATTTCTATGATGTTCATTATATGGAGAAATTTCTTGTAACATTTGTTTGATGAAAATTTCAAAATCGCATCATGTTTTGTTAATTATTTATTTTATTTATTTTGTTGCTTGGCTTTCAGTGTTGCCGTTAACAGCATTAGGAATTGAACCCAAGTTTACAATTCCTCACTCTGCAAAAATGGATGAAGTTGTCATTGCCAATGGCTTTGTTGGCAGTGTCCTTTCTGACTACTTCTGGTATGTAAAGCAACTGTTTCCAATTTAAAGCTATGCGTTGAAGATTTCTTTTCTTCATATCTGAACCTTCTTCTTCATAGGGCATTATGTGTCGTTTGGACAACTCCACTGGTGGCCACCTTGGGCATGTCTCTCACCATCCCACTTGCTATGGTGGCCGATATGATGATTCATGGCCGTCATTACTCAGCCATCTACATTCTCGGTTCAGCTCAGGTAATAAGATTTTCTGTGAAATGCATAACATGAATGGTGCACTTAATTTTTAAACCTGAAAAGCTAGGTTTCAAGCACAAAATCAGAAGGCCTGTCAAAAGGGCTGAGATAACTCTCACATTTTATCTGTGGATTTTTTTTTTCCATCTGCTGCATGAAATACAATGAATTGATTCAAATTTTCATTTGGGACCATCAACCATACCTGATTGTTGCAGGCTACATTTATCCCTTCTTTTTTCCCTTCATGTTCTCTTGATTTTGTGTACAGGTATTTGCAGGATTTGTCATAGCTAATCTTTCTGATTGGTTCTCGAAAAAGTTGGGATTATAGCATTTAATTAAATCCTATTGCTTGCTTGGTAATCTTAATTCTTTCTTGGGGGCCATAAACTCCATCATTGTTGATTTGAAGCCAACAAACTGAAGTAATGTTTGAGAAAAATTCTCTCTTGGGTGGGTTGGCATTTGCAAAGAGGAGAGAAGACATAATGCAATGTTGTTGTATAACTATTTGTGCAAATGAAATTTGTAGTAGTGATGTTATTTGTCAATACGGTCATGTTTTGATTATTTGGCCTTGAATGAAATACACATTTTAGCTTCACGTACTTTGCTTTTCTTTTCTTTTCTTTTTGCTGCTTTTGTAGTGCCATTTTTTCGAATTTTTGTACAAACCCTTAAAGTGCTAAATACCAAATATTCAAATTTGTGCCTTTTGAATTAATAGCAAGTTATTTTCCAATGAATCCTTTGGCCTTTGTTATTGTTATCCATGCATGTGTGTGTGTGCGCGCGCATTCTTATATATTAGAAAGTACGTGAATTTAAGGATGTGATATTTTCAGACTTTTTATTTTTTCAAATTATACCATTATTATATAATCCAAAGGTAGATGATACCGTTTTGTTTTTTTCTTTGAATAATAGTGAGTGTAAAATGCCAGTAGTATAATTTAGTTCACCATTAAAGTTTTTCCAAGTTTTGCTACCACTAAACTCATTTATATCCATTATAACTCAAACTTGTAACGCTCTCGTTGTGGTCAGACCATGTTGCCTGCCTAGAGTGTCACACCCGGACATATCCGGCCAAGGGTGCTTAGCGTGGTACCAGATCAAGGACTAGATTTGACTTGAATACAAGTGTAACAGGTCGGGTGTTTCGCGATTTAATTCAAAAGCTTAAGCTAATACTTTAGGTTAACACCTGACCTATTTATATTTTATACTCATCACACTTCTCATCCGAATTCAATGTGGGACAAAGTCTCTTTGTACCAACTATACTACCATCTAATCCATCAACAACTCTAAATTCTAAGTTGTTAAGTTATTAATAAAATATAGAGCAAATTATATAACTTTCCTTAAAATTTGGCATGCTCAATAACACTTCCAACGGTTTTATTTTCATCATAGTTGTCCACCAAATTTTATAAAATGATAATTTTGTTTTTCTCTCTTGTATTAAATGTAATAAAATATATTATTATAGTATAAGAACGTTATTGGCTTTTTACTTTCTAAGTCACTTACTTTGCTCTAAAATCTACAATTTCCCCAAAATAAACAATTTCACCCTTTCAGCATAATAATAATAAATAAATAAATAATATTTTTACTGATGTAATTTGAATATCATTTAAAATAATAAATTTTATTTCTCACTGCAAATATCGAAGATTTATGAAAGAAGGGGTAAAAAAAAAAAGAAAAAAAAAGAAAATGAAAAAGGAAACGCAAGACACTGGCGAGTTGAGCGCGAAACGAAACAAGAGAGTAGAAGATAACGTTGAGCACTCTAATTTCTGACTGCAGAAAGCTTCGAGAGAGAGTGAGAATAGGCTCCAAATGGGTACTCTTCTCAAGTGCTACAAACCCTTGATTCTAATTCGTCGTCCGTCTCTATTCTCTTTTCTCCCACAAAGGCCGTTTCACATCCACCATCGCAGACTCTTCATCGTCAACAACAGTACCAGTAGTACTACTAGGGTTTGTTGTTCCAGTTCAGTGGGGCAATCTCAGGCTTCGATCCATGAGAGAAGTTGTAGAGACATTGACGGTCATAAACCGGAGCACAAATCTTCTTCCTCTTCAGAGCTATGGTTGTACAATACAATGAGCAAACAAAAGGAATTGTTTAAGCCAAAGGTTCAGGGTAAAGTCGGCATGTATGTGTGCGGCGTCACCGCCTACGATCTCAGCCACATCGGCCATGCTCGTGTCTATGTTTGCTTCGACGTCCTTTACAGGTTTCCCCAATTCTCTCTCTCTCTCTCTCTCTCTCTCTCTCTCTCTATAGCATAGTAGGATCTACCATGTGTTAACTGTTATTTTTTTTTTTTTCTCTAAATGTAGAGGAGTTGATCTTCATGAATGATAATTTTAGGATTTCAAAGATTGTAGGTGTTTATCACGTAACAAAAAAAGGAGAAAATTGACAAAGGCTGTGAATTGAGAACCAGAAGAAGATATGCATGTGATATACTTAACACCATTCAGCATTTAATTTTTAACAAATGAATCGATTATTCAATTAAACGTGTTTGATAACACAATTTGAATATCATTTAAAGAAATAAGTGCCACTTAAAATGTAGTAAATTTGTATAATGCTAAACACTTAAAATCTGAAAAAAAAAAAAAAAAAAGTATAATTTTTTTTTCCCTCTCAATTTGCAGTTACCACTTAAAACTTCAGCTCTTGAAAATTTCAATTTTATCAAACAACACCTTCGTCTAGTTCAGACTTTTATTTTCTTAATTTATTTTATTTGTTTTTTCATGCTTACCATAACCAGATGTTGTTGCATAATTGGCGTTTTGGAATTAATTGGCTTTTTTGGTTTTGTTTTTGAATTAGGCAGATACCTTAAGCACTTGGGATATGAAGTGAATTATGTACGCAATTTCACTGATGTTGATGACAAGGTCAGTTGAACTGCTCCACCAACAAAGCTGAAATTATGAATGCAGCAAAATTCTTTCTTTTGTGTTTTATGTACTGAATGATTGGTAAAACTCTGGAATTTATAAACTTTGTGATTATCATTAATTTTGTAATAATGTGTCAGATTTTTCTATTCAATTTATTAATGAAGTTCTAAATGTGTAATTCTTTGCATTCAGGATATGATCTAATTCCTTGCATGGATACTATTTTAAGCTTGAGATTGGTTGTTGACAATAATTCAAGTGGTTTTAACTTTTGTATGGGGCTGAATGGGGGAGTGTTTGAGACAGTAAATTGTTTGCATGTACGTGGGGTCCTTTGGGAGTGAATATAAACTTTAGGATTGTGCAAATTAAGTAGCGAAGAGGCTATAATCTCCAAATCAGTAATTTCTTAATGTTTTCCATAGATTTGTTTTTTAGGTGGTGGGTGGTGGGTTAAGGTATTTACCGGATATTATGAAATGAAAATTGCCAAAAATTCTATTGGAATCTATGTTGCATTGTATCTTTCAAATGCATGAAATACCTGTGTTGGATATATATGTGTATGATATATACGTCCGACATGTTTGGTTGTTCATTCACCTAATAAAAAAAAATAAAAAAGTCTTGTAATCTATGATTTGTTTAAAAGAAATGTAAATTTACCAATTCCAAACAAGTAATATATTCTCAGTTATAAGGTGGACTGTGGACATTAATTAGATAAAAAAATAACTGACATTTATTAGAACAATCAAAACTCAAAAAGTTCAGGAATAATGCCACAGTATCACAAATTATGATGAATTACCATATACCGATTTATTCCAAATTACTATAGATTAGCACTATTTATTTTATAGAGTGCCTAACGAAGCAATCACAAATTTTGTTAACGAAATTAATTACACACGCATATAAACTAACTAATTCAAAAAATGCAACAAGAATACCAACTAACTCAAATGCACCAACATATAAACTAATTCGGCCCACTCAACCAGCCCAAACAGTACGCACAAACAGATACACACACACACATATCTAAAATCCTGGTAGGCTAGATATATAAATGTGATATACAAATGCACATCAATCCATAAACTTAATGTTTACTGCATATAGTATGTATATATATTTTTGCATGTTTATGTAAATTAGTGTGTGAGTATCATTAATATATATGTATCTATATGTTAAAAGAGGAAAATTTATCTCCGGAAAGACCATCAGTGAAGCGATTGTGTGTGATATGATAAGAGGACAGGAAATCTGCAGTTATAAGTCACCGACGTAGTGTCTTAAACTGTGGTTCATATGCTTATTTTTTGATCTTCAATGGAAAGTTTCCCAAGATTTTTTTTAAATCTCTGTACAAGCTGTACAAGATCTATGGTATATGTGATATACTTTAAGGTTTGTCATAGGAATAGGTCTTATACAATGAAGTGAAAAACTGATCAAGAGGGAAATTGATGAGATGTTTGAAATAGGGATCACTGGAGGAAGTAATTAGCCCCAAAGAGAAATCTTCTTGGAACCAATGGTCTACAATCTTCTTCTTTTTGGCCCCAAAGATCATTTGATCGTTAATGAGGGATGAGAGAGAGAGAGAGAGAGTGTGTGTGTTTGATCAACTTGGAAAGAAAGACAAAAGACAAAAATGACTGATATTTTACACAAAATGACTAGTCACTGAGGCTCAAACCTGCACCTTATTCATAGCAGCTCGAGTTTTTTCCATTACATTGAGATATGATCCCCACATTTATTCCAGACTAAAATTTAAAATGATCATATTTATTAAAATTTCCTTCACTGCTTATTAGCTTTTGCCTTAATGTAGGAGAAGATACGAGGGATCCATTGAGTAATGGAAATAGTTTGAAAAACTTCAACTCAGCAATTTTTTTTTGCATTAGTTGATTAGAAAGATTAAAACTGAATCATTGAGCCAATCCTAAATGTACTTTTAAGGGGTTTTTGTTATGTTTGATATAAGTTTAGCCTTGTACATATTGTCTTATCAAAGTAAATTTTGCTGGCTTGGAAGTCAGAACATAAATAGCATTTGAAGTTCATGCTTCAATTCTGTAACTATTGCGAATGTGACTGTTCCACTGTAAAATATTTTTCTTATTAAAATGCCCTTGTCCTATGCATGTTGTTTCTTCATTCAAACTCTCCAGAAACTTGGATGTTCTGGTCCACAACGTCTTCTGTTTGCCTCCCACTCTTTGAATCTTCAGTGTTTGCAAAAAGGGGTTATCTTAAACAGCATTTCTTAGTTACATGGCATTGATTGCAAATATTTTGACTTCGATGGTGTGGTTAATAAATTTGTTGTAGGGGTTTGTTGTTATTACGCTGCATGACTTGGATGCCAGGTACCAACTGCTTGTTATATATGGATGACAGGATAGCTGAGTCTGCAATTTTCAAATTCTGTAGATTATTGCCAGAGCAAATGAATTGGGGGCTGATCCAATTAGTTTGAGCAGACGCTATTGTGATGAGTTTCATCAGGATATGGTGCATCTTCACTGCCTGCCTCCTTCTGTGGAACCTCGTGTCTCTGAGCACATGCCCCAAATTATCAGTATGATTGAGCAGGTACATTACTGATCCATTTATCTCATTTTCCTTGTGCTACTGGACCTTGATTTTGGCGGTAAAGCATTGGGGTGGAAATAGGTCTTATGTTGAATCTTTCCTTCCAAACACAAAGAAAAGGATCTGATGTTCATGTTTTCATTAGTTGCAAAGAACTATTTCTTACACCTTGCAGCTTAGACACTGCTGTAGAGGACATCGACTTATGTTGTGGTGTGTTTGAGCTGCCATTTTTATTGGGTGGATTGTCCTCCTCACACTCCCCAGAACTCTTACTAGAAATCGATTTTGTTGAAATATTTAGCACGATATCATACAAGGTTTATCATTATCGAGCAAAAGTTTGTGTTTTTTTTTTTTTTTTCCATGCTCTTTATATTTATCACGGTTACTTAATAAAAGAAAAAAGAACAAAGACTCATGGTGAATAACTGCTTTTCAGTGGTTGAAGTGACGACCTAATAGTTTCAGCAGGCCTCAATTTATAAAGTATGATTGATTGAAATTTCCTTTGTAACCTTGAAGTTTTAATCTTATGGTGAAGAATAAAGCCTGTTCCAACAGATAGTATTTACTGCAGTGGCAGTATTGACTTGTAATAGGCATGGTTTTTTCTGTTGCGTTTTACTTGTAGAAGATACTTGAGATTCAAAAAGGAGCAGGCTCTTTGATTTTATAATATTGGTGAAGAACTCCCATTTGCCCCTATGAGCACTTGAACCCTCACCTTCAGCTTTGGGAGGTTGAGGAGATACCAGTACGCTACAGCCCTTGGTATATTGAATGAATTTTTTAGTGCGTTTTTCTTTATCAATTACTGCAATCAGGACCATGAGCTGAGTAGATTGAAGTCCAGTGTAATAAGTCCTTAAAGCAAAGCTTTTGACTAGAAAATATCTCTTTTCTTTTTCAAAAAGAGAGAGGGAGGGGATTGGTAAAATATATACCGATATTTACGGGAATTCTCTGATATCCTGGCATTTTAAAAGTATGATTATCCATTAAGAGCATACTAATGTAAGAACTTAGGAGCAGTCATAAGTAGTTTACTTCTAGTTGTCTACCTTCAGTATTCCATTCTTACATTCTAATTATTAAACTCAAGTCATTGATATGATATTAAATACTACACTACTGGGCCATTGGCCCAAGTGGTATAACCTCTTTCCCCCAAAGAGGAGGTGAGGGTTCGAGCCCCATAGTGGGCTTTTAGGGTGTTTGTGTAATTACCTAACAAAAAAAGAAAAGAAAAGAAAATAAAAAAAAGAAAATGGTGAAGTACCACATGAGGGTCATTCGACTCTTATCTCATTAATCTTTATTATACACACACACACTTTTGAGTTCGTCTTTTTCTTGAATCATAACATTAGTATATAAGAAGCTGGTTGATTCCTGGAAAAATGTAGTATATAAGGAATCGAGGCTCGGAATATACCAAGACTTCCAAAGTTCACAAAAGAAAGTAGGTAACAGAAAAAAGCACGCCAAAGAAAGAAATCTTAGGTGAAGCAAAGAGTTGTGAGATGGATAGCTCAAACATTTTAAAATTATCTTCAAGCTATAAGACCATTAATACTTGCCAGACCAGAAAAGCTATAAGACATCTCAAAATTTGAAATTCTCCTATTTACTTTCCTTCCTGAGCAACCTTTTGAATTATATTTTTCTTCCCATTGCCATACTTGCACAATGACCCATTCACTAATTAAGCATCAAACTCTATTAATTGAATAGATTCCAGGCAATGAGACATTGCACGTAAGTTTGTAAGCCAAAGAACAATTGAAAAGTAGATGATCCACAATATAAGTATTTATTCTGGGCATGTGAATCTTTAGAGTGGTCTCCTGGTTTGGTTGACTTGGTTGCTTATGTCCCCAGTTAGGCAACTTGGTACTTGTACATCTTTTAGTTAATTTCTGATATTTTTATGATTTGGAAAGTTGAAAGTTGGACTTCAAGAAACGCTCCAAGATGGGTTTTGTCAGATTAACTAAAATATGGAGTTTTTTGACCTCTTGTATTTGCTTAATTGGCAGATTCTTGACAAAGGGTACGCCTACAGACTTGATGGGGATGTATACTTCTCAGTGGAAAAAATTTCAGAATACGGACAATTATCAGGGAGAAAATTAGAAGATAATCGAGCAGGCGAGCGGGTGGCAGTGGACACTAGGAAGAAAAATCCAGCCGATTTTGCTTTATGGAAAGTAAGTGTTGTAACTAATAATGCAAATGCACCTACATCAGCTATGTGCATCATGAAAGTGTTTGGACTCGCAAAACCTGATCTTACATGTGAACATCCCCATTTCTTTTTCACCAAAATTTTAGCAGTTCATAATTAATTTAAAGTCATGGAACATGTTTTGACCGGTTATTTAGGGTCATCTTTAATTATTCTGTTTCACTTGAGAATTTTGGTTGACTTAGAGCCAGCTGTTGGCAGTTCAACATCCTAAGAACAAGCCTAGATGTAAAGTTTCAAATTCCGTTGAAAGGAAAGAGAGCTAGTCTTTAAAGTATGGCTTTATCCTGCTCTCATTTATGATTAAGCAAACCTATGGACTTTTTAATCATACTCATTATACTAGGTTCTAAGGTAAGCAACACATTGTTATGTGTTTCTCATTAGCGTTCTGTTTACGACAAATATCCATATTCTAGTCTTCTAGGTAAGGCAGATTTTTGATGGAAAAGTACATGTGAATTGTCACTGCTGTTTGTTTTCAAAATTTGGATGGCCCTCGATTAATTCCCTTATAATATCATCGATGTGTGTAAGTCCAATTGGTTTAACATCTATGTTACTGTGAGGTGCATCAGGCTGCTATTTAGTTGCAAGATAGCAAAGAACTAAATTCTCTTGGCCAACAAAGTTGGTTTCCAGTGAAGTATTAGATTTACAGAAGTTTGTTAATTTTTCTTGCAGTCTGCAAAGCAAGGAGAGCCCTTTTGGGAGAGTCCCTGGGGTCCTGGGAGACCTGGATGGCATATTGAATGCAGTGCCATGAGTGCTGCTTATTTAGGTTACTCTTTTGACATACATGGTGGAGGGATGGATCTTATTTTTCCCCACCATGAAAATGAAATTGCTCAGAGTTGTGCAGCATGTGACCAGAGTAATATAAGCTACTGGATACACAATGGATTTGTCACTATTGACTCTCAGAAAATGTCCAAATCACTGGGAAACTTCTTCACAATTCGGCAGGTAAAGGAATTTCGTATGGGTTTATTTATTAGTTTGTCTGTTATGCTACCTGATTTATGATTTTGTTTTTAGTATATATATATATATTTTAGTTTCAACTTTTGGCTTGATCCTTCTTATAATTACATTTTTGCTCAGGTTATAGAGCTATATCATCCACTAGCTTTGAGACTTTTCTTGATTGGGACACACTATCGGTCTCCAATAAACTACTCTGATGTACAGCTTGAAAGTGCATCTGACCGTGTTTTTTACATGTATCAGGTATTGGAAAAATTGCTCTTCACTTTTACTATTAGTCTTTATCAGTGAGTTGAACAACATTGTGGAATATTCGCCCAAAATTCTAGGAATTAAAGAATTCTTTAGCGAATAACATTGGAGGCGCATTAGCTATTATTTTGTGATTGATTGACTTTCAATTGGTTGCAGACCTTACAAGACTGTGAAGATGTTCTGAGCCAGCATGATGAAGCAAATTTGAAGCGCTCCATTCCTCCGGATACCATGGATTGCATTAATAAATTTCACAATGAAGTTTTGACTTCAATGTTGGATGATCTTCACACTCCTGTTGTTTTGGCTGCCCTGTCTGATCCTTTGAAAACCGTTAATGATTTGCTTCATACTCGCAAGGTATTAGGTTATAAATATTTTTTGCAGACATGAATACGTGCAGATTTATTAGGATCGTTATATCTTTGTTATGTGGTATATTATTTGTCCCAGTACCCCAGCCCCCACCTGGTGTGTGATTAGCTCCTAGATTGCTGCTCAGTTTGGGTATGGTTCGTTCGACACTATAACCAAGTTGAGGGTGCAGAGCATCAATTAGTGGTAGTCCATGCCAGAAGTCCAACAATGAATACCACAAGAGAACTGGATCAATTTTAAACTAGTGGATAGGGTCTCAGTTTGGACACACCTAAGTTGTGCCCCCTGCTGGTTGCTGCAATTTTTTTTAATTGACTTTGGAAATTTAGTCTCTTGGTTTTAATCAGAAATGTTCATTTTAATCTCTTCAACCCTGCACTACCAACTTTTATCTTCTTGAAATATATGACTGGATGTTCTGTGCAGGGGAAGAAGAAAGAATTGCGAATAGAATCACTTGCAGCTCTAGAAAACACAATAAAAAATGTTCTGATTATTCTAGGACTCATGCCAGCAAGTTACTCTGAGGTATTTAACTTGTTTTAAATTTTCTTATTTAATCCATAATGATATATTTCTGAGATTACCATACCATATGTGTACAATTCTAGCATTTAAGTTCATAAGATGTATATTACTTGAAAATGACATGAATTATTTCACGTTATTATGAAATCCACATATTACTTCAGGTAGTTTTAATTCCTCATTTCTATTGACATGTTTTGTGTCCTTCGATAAAATTAGTTCATGATTCTCCATAACCAACTCCGTTAATCCGACTGTCCTTACAAACCCTTGGACTGCTGATTAGCAAACTTTTGAAGCCTTGTGGAGTTTGTTTTTTCAAAATACTGAAGTAGAAAAAGCCTATTTTGGCACTACCTATGTGAATAAATTGAGTGGCTCACCATGTTAAGAGCGTCAAGTGGGGCTGCAAATGACCGCAGCACACGTTGGAAGGGTTTTTCATCTCAACTCTTCTTACCTTTTAATTACAAAAGCCAATTCAATTTTTTTTATATATTTTATGTATGTTATAAGTACCATTTAATTTTGTCGAGAAAGAGGTCAACACAAATCGGTAGATAGACGTCCCAAAAATATTATTAAACTCGAAGTCAAATTTAAAGTAAACTATTAAGAGCCAAAACCTATTCTGTGTTTGGATGTTCCAATAACAATTAATTTAACAAGCTCCAATGGGTTTTTATACTGGACTTGAAGATCATCTAGTGCAACCCACTTTTAATTCCTAAAAATGGGATATCCTGGATAATAAATCTAGAACTCTATATCATGATCTTATAGTTTGTCATCACTTCGAAGCTTTTCATATTTCAGGCTCTGCAGCAGTTGAGGGACATGGCATTGAAACGTGCTAAGTTGACTGAAGAACAAGTTCTTCAAAAAATTGAAGAAAGGACCACGGCAAGAAAGAACAAAGAGTACGAGAAATCAGATACAATTAGGAAAGATTTGGCTGCTGCGGGAATTGCTCTCATGGACAGCCCAGAAGGTACAACTTGGAGACCAGCTGTTCCACTTGCCTTGCAAGAATAATAGGTTTTAAGAACGTGAATGGGCGGGCAGTTTTCATCGTAATTTAGCAGTCTCTTACTGTATTAAACAGTCCAGACAATTTATTCTCGCAAAGAAAATTTAAAATGTGAGGTAAATTCGCTGGGTGCGGTTTGTTTATATGCAGTTTGAGTGGACATAGAAGAGTAAATGGGTTGAAAATTTAGTTGACACATGGTGAAATGTTTGGTCAGGCTATGTTACAGTTTTTATTTTACCCCTTTTTTCTATTGAGATTATACACTTAATTTTTTCTTGTCTTATTCTTTATTGGTAATTTTTTCTTCTCTTGTTCTTGTAAGTGATTGATTTTCTTTGTTTTTTGTTTTTTTGGGGTGATATTTTAGACAACTAATGACGAGAACACTGAATTGACCCTGAAAGTATGATCGTTAGTGAACAAATTTCCCCAAAGAAACTTGAGATATTGAAATATAGGAGTGGATGAACCCTAATATTCACGTATATGCACAATCTGTTCATTAATTCACAGAGTTGGCAGTTGGCAATTGGTTGGTCTCCGGCCATCTTCAAGAACTAATTAAAATTTGAAATCTATCAAAGAAGTTGAGAGATGAAATTATGAATGACAAAGACAAGCCGTGTATGTCTCCTATAATGATCACACCCAGACAACTGGAGAGATTGGCCTTGATTGCCTAGGAAGCTAGGTCTTGACGAACTCAGAGACAATTGGTTGGGATTGGTGGGTAGGGCATTTTCTCATTGTCTTCAGGTCCTGTTTGGTCCAGATTCAGGTATGCCAACAGAACGCTCCTTACAGTGGACTGAACAGATAATAGTGGGTTGTATGAAGATTCCAGGTTAGATGTTATGCACTGTTGGAGGATCCATTACCATAACAGAGGAACTGCATGTACTAAAGTAGAATCATTTTGTTTATTTTTTTCTTTTCGTTCTTGCTGTCAAGTTATTATTGTCACTGTCTCTTAATTTTTCTTTTTTCACCTTTCTTTGTTTCTCAGAAGGTCCTCGTCATTGACACTTGTGTTTCGTATATTTTCTGTCTGCGTGAGAGAGCCGTCCTCTCCATGTGAGATGCAAGAGGATTTGTTTTTGTTATGCATTATTGACGAAAGACCTTATAGCAGAATGTTGGATTTTCGTTCCATTCACAATGTACTTGTAGAGACTTAAATCCTCAACCTCTCTCTTTGAAAGTAGAGGAGATACTAGGAACACATGCCCTTATGAACTAATATATGGCTCAACATATTCTAAAATATATATTCTTGTCGCCTGTTCTCTTAAAGCTCACTACTATGCCATGTGAACCTATTTACCCTTCTCCTGTCCACTCCATTTATTCTACCTTGGAAAGAAAAAGAATGAAAATTCGTTCTACATCTTGATTTATGGAATGGTCATTTTATTCCTTAGTTATTTTTTTTTTATAAAATAAGAAATTACATTCCCAAAAATATGCTTACGTTCCAAGTCCAAAAGTCACTGCCCCAAAAATATGCTTACGTTCCAAGTTCAAAAATCACTGCCACCGTCACTGCCGCCACCACAATTGTTGCTGCCTACCTCCACCACCACCGCCATCACCATCACCATCACCGCCACCTCCATTGCCTTACACCACCACCGCCTTCCACCATGACCGCCGCCACCCTATACTACTAGCATCGCCTTCCACCACCACCCTACACCATTGTCAGCCTTCCACTTACACCACTACCGCCACCACCGCGCCGATGCCTTTCAATTTATCATTGATATTTCGTATTTTGGAGAATTCAATTTAAAATAATGCCATTCTAGGTTTCAATTTTGGACAAAAAAATTATAAAAAATAAGTAATGTCATTCCATTCCTACTTTTTTTAATATTTGCAACCAAATAATAAGATGAGAATAACCATTTCATTTCTTCGTTTTAAACGCAGCTTACTATGATAAAAAAAACAGAGCTTTAAAAGTAGAGATACTAAACAGGGTTCGTCTACAACAACCAAGTACTGCAAACTTTTCTACGTCATAAAAAAATATCTGAATCCTGCCCCCTCTCATCCTAGGGACTAACCCAAAAGACAAAACATGACATAAGAAAAGAAAAAAAGTACTCTCATTTTCTCTTCTTAGCAGGTGGCTGGGGAATCTCTTCATCTTCCTCTTCCTCTTCATCCTCCTCTTCTTCCTCAGCACATTTTCTCTTCTTAACAAGTGGCTGAGGAATCTCTTCATCCTCATCTTCCTCTTCATCCTCCTCTTCTTCCTCATCATCTTCATCGTCGTCATCCTCATCTTCATCGTCGTCATCCTCGCTTCCACCATCACCATTGGCCACAGGCACATCCTCAGGATCCCCTTCATCCTCATCATTTCCCTCTTTGCCAGGCAAATCATCCTCCTCACTACCATCATCATCATCATCCTGATCTTCTTCACCATCATCGTCATCCTCGTCATCATCCTCTGTTTCGCTGCCATCTTTGTTCTCAGGGCCAGGCTTCTTCATAGTGTTAATTTCAGCTAATGAAACCCTGCAAAAAATTCAGTACTCTAATTGTATTCATTCCCCCTCTTGCAATTGAAGCAACAAGAATGGGTGTTATACCAAATGAAATTATGTCACTGACCTTTCAATTTTTTCAGGCTCCCATAGGAAATCAATACCATTCGGAAATTTTCCCATCTGAAACAAACCAAACACATCCTGAATAAAAGGTAACAAAGAAAAGTACTCATCTAAAATGCACATATTTGTAGACAATGAATAAGAAAGTATAGGAGACGTAGAACAACAGCGAGAGAACCATATTAGATGGCAAATGCACATCAAAACATATCAATAAGTGACGGAACAGTTTTGACACAAGGTGCATTGTTTACAGCATATATGTAAATTCGAAAAGGTTAACATAAATGATTTGCAACAGCTACTTCGATAATAAGAAACCACCCCGGAAGCACACGCATTCAAATTATTCCAGACCATTAAACTAGATTTGTTTGAACCCAAAAAAATCCACATGTGCTTCATGGATCGTAAGCAATTTAGATGGTGATACATCAACATCCCTGAGTTGTAATTGGGGTAAAATCTAAAGTTGCAAATTTACCAACTGCCAAATGCTAGGAAAAAAAACCAAAATATGTATCATACCATATTGTTCAGTATTTAAGCACTATGCTTCTAGGAATCACTTCATCACTACACAAGCCCAAAATAATAAATGCATAATATATATATTTTTCGTTTTTTGTTTCTTTTTTCTTTCCCAAAAAGCCAATTGCATAACTTAATAAGAAACAGAACAATTCATAGAGAGAGCCTCAAAGCTGTACACTTTTGGGGCAATCTAATTACTGAGGAAGATAAACTTATCATACCCTAAACCCCAAATCCACCTAATGTACAAGAAATATACTCAAGTTGCCATAAATAAATAATAATACCCACAAAAAACAAAAAATCCAACAGCAATTCTGGATAAGTAATTAAGCCAAAAAAAAAAAAAAAAGCATAATAAAACCAATTCGATAAAGAAAAAAAAAAAAAAAATTTCCCCACAATACAAGTAACACTTTTACAAGGACGAAGTCAAACGTAATAATAATGAATTCACGACAAAAGTAAGTAATCGAAACAATTACGAAACCAAAGAAAGAGAAAAGTATGCGGTTGCGTTATTACCATGAAGAGAAGGCAAGCAAGAGATTTAGCAGCAACAATGGCAGTCTCAGCCACAACAGCTTCTATGACAGAAGACACAAACCTATCCAAAAGAACAACATCACGGGACAAGCACTCCATCTCCACTAAGTACAACAACAACAACAAAGCCTAGAGAGAGAAAGAACCAAGCTTTAGAGAGAGAAAGGGAAGAGAAGCCCTAAAATAAGAGAGACAAAATCAGAGGAAGAAAGAGTGAGATTCCACAAAAACCCTAGAGAGGGTTTCCAATTTGGGAAGGTTTTATCCACTTCCTACTTTATTGGTCCTCTCTCTCTTTCGTCTCCCACTGGGAAAATACTACTAGTAAATCCTAATTGCAGCAACACGCACTATAGTGCGAGTGTGACGCTCAAAATCTAAGATTCAATAATAGCAAGTGTGTTGATAGTATAGTGTCACAGGTGGCTGTTATTGGAAGGTGACGGCACAATCAAACGTTCGTATTTTTTATTTTATTTTAGTCAAACGTTCGTATTTTTTATTTTATTTTATTCTAGTGATATGATTGAGTCAAGTTTTGGCTGTGATATTGCAAGGTGACTCTTGCAAGTATCTTAATACTCGTAATATTTTTAATTATGATTAGCATACAGACCTTCCAGATGGCTTTCTATTTGAGAGATCGTGCCCATTCATTCATTCCACGTCTAATGCAACAACTTTGCCTTCAATATATCTCATTTTGTTATAATATTAGGGATAATTACACTAATCTTCTCTGAAATTTCATCAATTTACACTAAACTCTCTTCGTATTTTTTAAATTACAGTGACCTTCCCTATCAGAGCTTTTAGATAGATGGCGTTAATAGTTCTATCGAAATTACTTTTTGGCAGATCCATTTTTGGGACAAGAAGAGAAACCCATTTCAGTTTGAGAGAGAATGGCGGTGGTGAAGGTCCTGGTTGTGGTAGTGCCGTGGTGCAGTCCTTGCCTTTGCTGTTGCTTCGCCTGTAGTTCCTAAAATATTTGACCCTTTTGTGCTTGTTGCATTGTCAATTTAAAATTGAATTAAAGATTTTAAATTATTAAATTAAAAACTTAGCACATTCAAGATGTAAGTTATTAAGTTAGGTGGTGTTTGATAAAATTAAAAATTAAGTATGGAAACTTTTAATAACTGAATTTTAAGTGTTAGATTGAATTGAATTATCAAGAAAAAGACTTTATTTCCTTTTTCTTTTTCTTTTTTCGGAAGGTAACAAGACCTTATTCTTGAGTTGCAATATTGTTCTTGTTACTGCAACACTTTCAACTTGGATGGAATTGAACTATACAAGCAATTATTCATTAACCATATATATAGAGAGAGATGAAATTGGGGGTTCGTGTGTGTGTGTGTGTGTTTAAATGAAATTGAGTTGAACTTGGACAGGAATTCGAATGACCATTTCAATGGGAAAGAAAACGGACCAATTGAATTGATACATGTCATACCAAGGACAACAGTCTAGTAGCATCTTCTCTGCTTGCCATGGTGAGATGGGATTCATTTTTCCATAGAAACAAATGGGGGTATGAAATTCTTGCTCAAAAAAATTAATAAAAAAATAAATAATAATTGAGACATGCCATAGCCAAAATCATGCATACAAAATAAATAAACCAAGGTTATATGTGAGTATATCACCCAGTGGTGTGTGTAAACCCATACTTCACAAGAATTTAGACAACCAAATAGCTTAGCAATTGCACTCTGTTGCCTCCAAATTACTTCTCTATGATTTGAGAGTTACAATTGGATGTTCCAAGCATTCAAGCCCTAGACCAACATCTAGTACCACTGGATTGGCAAGATAATCGGACCAAACATTCAAATGATTAACCTTTAGTAACCATAGTTAAGTAATGAAGTCATTAAGTAACCATAGTTAAGTAATGAAGTACATCATCCCCCATCTTTTCCAAGGCTCCAACTAAATATTTCACAGCAAATATGGGATGAAAAATGTCACAAGAAACTAAACTTCATTTTTAGGGCTTACAAAAATAAAACCTTATATGTAACAATCCAATCTTCAATCCTACAACACGCTTTCAAATGGACAAAAAAACAACTTATACTAACCGATATAGACATAATGATTTAACAAGTTATCACATCGTGATAGAAATTTATGATCCCATCTCGTAATCTCATGCCCATGGACAACAGAAAGCATAACAAATGTTAGTGAAAAGTAAGACACTCGTATATGAAGAATTACGAAACAGATGAAATCAGAAGGGAGATGAGCCCTAGCACTGGATGGATAGTGAATTTGTAAGAGGATAATGTTATTTGGATACCTCCTAGGGAACTATTTAATTTGACAAAATCTAGGGAATGTGAAGCACTTGGATGTAAATCTAAAATTACCATCCAACTTCGGTCGGTGTATATGCTCTCAAATTTGTAACAAGAAGTGCATCTCTGAATGACCCTTTAAGGTAAACTTGACTTGATTGAGAAAATATCAAATTAACAATCAAATGAAGAAATAAAATATAAACAAAATTGCAAGACAAGGAAAATCAAGAACATCCAATTGCATGATGAAGTCATTAATATGAAAATGAATTAACTAGGAATCCAAGATAAAGATGTGTTTTTGCAAAAGAGGGTAATAAGGCTAGATATTACAATCAATGCAAGAGAACTTCAAACTGATACCCCCTCCCCTCCTATGCAGGTACATTTTATGCATGAGTTCTTACAAATTTAGGCATCCACCTTTGCTGCTGCAGATGCATAACTGACACTGCTGTCTCTCATGCTTTTGCATTGACTTGATTGTTCGTATCGAAGAAACTTGATCTTTGTTTTTATGGAGCAGTTCCTCAACATCTGGTTGTGTTTTAAAAGACAAAATAACAAAAAAAAATTAGCAAACCAATCAATGCAGTTAACTGATCAATGAAAAAATGAAACTGAAGGAAAGAACATAGATATAAATAAAAAATGAATAGAACAAATAAAGATGGGGGAAAAAACATATATGCTGTCTTTTTAAAAATTTGGCAAAACCTATGAGAATATCATCCGATTTCAATGCACCTAAAATATTATTTTGATGAATTTCACCTAGAAAAATTAAATGGAAGGAGGAAATGGTAAGCAAACTTGCACAACATTAACTAAATACTTTAAGCTCTACATTTAGGTGTTTATGATTTTTTAAAATTGTTAATATGCAAATTTAGCATTTTAAATCGTGTCCTGATGACTTTTATACCTAAGACAGGATGGACAGAAAAAAGAAAACCGATCCTGCACAAAGTTCTGTGGGTTTTGTTTAACAGCAAGGAAATTAGTGAAAACAACCAAGGGTATAGTCTAGTGATAGTTCCTCTACCTCCCAAAATGACAGTTGAGTGTCCAAGTCCCTATGGTTGAGCGTACAAGTCCCCATAGGGGCAAAAAGTGTGTGTGTGTTTTATTTAGCAGGGGAAAAATTACTGAAAACAAACCTTCCCATAAATTAAAAATAAAAAAGAAGAAGAAGAGGAGATATTTACATGGAGAAAAACACTAATTGGATGGCGTCCACAAATGGTGTTATCAAACTCCAACAGGTACTTTTTAAATGCATCTGCATCTCCGGTTTCTATTATATCCATGCCCATCCTGTCCAAGGCCTCGATAGATTTGTAGATAGCTCCATGTTTTTTGTCATAATGCGTGTAATTGAACCTAACACAAAAAAATGAATTTCAGTATATGTGAAATGGAAGCCTGTTATGAGCACTGGCAATGGGAGTCTAAATCGAACAGAAACGTCCCCATCTTGGTTGTGATATAAAGACAGAAGATTTCACTAGAAAACTATATACGTCAAAATCATTTGCTTTTAGGACTGCATAAATGTATATAAATGATCATGTTCTCGACATACAAGAGACAAAAATATTAGAAAATACTCATGAACGGAACATACCGGGAGCCCCAGTGACAAAAATCTGAGGATACAGAAAAGAAATTATTTGGATCATCTACATATTTGGCTAACATCCGTCCGTACATGGCTTCATTTTCAGCATTAAGAGCGCCGACCAAAATGGGTACAATTTTTACAGTGTACCTATAATAGTATTATCTAAATATCAGCCTCAACAAAGTAGGAGTAGAGACAAAAGCTTTAATCTACAACTAGACTTACCCATGAAACACTTTCGCAAGATATGGCAAGTGCATTTCCATGCTATGTTCAGCCTCATCAACGTGAAGATCCATCAATTCAAAATTCCCAGTAGCTTTTAGCTCCTCAATGACTGTGCAGAAACGAGCTTAAATGTGAATGAGCTTTGCTTCAAACAAGCAATGCTAAATCATTATTGAAATTTATACCGTACTACTTCTTAATAATATAATTCAAATAGTTAATTAACATAATCTACATAAGATATAACCACCAAAGTACCATAACAAAACAGCAAATCATCATATTTTCCATTTTAGTGATTCCATTATGATACCACCCGTGTGATTCTTTTTATGAACCGAATTGATTCAACAGTTGTGGCAGAATCCAACAATCTGGATTGCACTTTTTTTAATAACCATGAACGCCCCATCCTCCTCTCAAAAAACAGTCGCAAACGGTAGGAAAGCGCTGAAATGTTCCTATAGAAATATTTTACCAATTCCGTTTGGATTTTCCAGCAAACAGTCTAAGCAGGTCAGTGAATTTGAAAAAGTTCATTAATATGTCAATTTCACCAGGGTTACCAAATTTCATTCTTACAGAAGAACTTCTGAGAAAGATTGCACTAAAAGATGAAAGTCAAAATACCTTCCAGATCAATAGGCAGGTCCCCTATTGGTGTCTTGTAAACTGTGGCCCTTGAGAGAGCACATTTTGGAGTGTAATAGTGGTGAGATGGACCGAGAAGAAACACCCGAGAACTGAAAAATAAAAACTCACAAATTTGCAACAAGGAACATGTAAGCTTTATTGATACACAACTACTCAAAGATGATCATCTCATATAAATATCAAGAGAACAAACTCACATTTTTTCTGGGTCTATGTTTGCAAATGCAAAGGCTGCGGCACGACCTGAATAAGAATACCCTGCATGACTAGTGGGTTCAATGCCACCACAAGAATGATAAATACATTAGAGCTGTTGTTGTGGAATAGTGATGGTGGGTGGTGCATAATAACTTACGGAGCAATCACACCTCGAACATCAGGAGATTTTGCCAGGCCAGATGCAGCAAGCCATTTATCAAGCTCTTCCGTTAATTTTTTTGCTGACAAAGCAATATGTTAGCATATATGATACCACGATTTATGGTATGACTTACCATAATAGCATAAATTTGACTATGCATATAATAGCATATATGATACCACGATTTATGGTATGACTTACCATAATAGCACAGATTTGACTATGCTATAGAATATGCTTTAGAATAAGTTGTGATTTGATTTTGATTTGATTTAGTTTCCTTTCTTGTAATATGAGCATGTGCTCATTTTATCTATAAATACTAAAGCGGTGAATGAGTAATTCATATCATTCAAGCCTTTACGCAATTCTCTCATTTCTCTTCTTTTTATATATTTCTACTTAGTATCAGAGCCAACACCTTTCCACACCTTTCAGCAGCCTTGCTACTTGTGCGACAGCTACCTTAGGCTGTTTATGACATCGTGTGACGTTGCCTACACATTTTTTTCTGTGTTGCTGTTTTATGATCGAAAACAGATATTTTTAAGTTTTACAATTTCTTTTTCACTCTTCTAGGGTTGGGTAAATTGGGATAGTTGGTTTCCAACACCTAGAAGGGCTTGGGTAAAAAAAAAATAGTCTACAAAGAGGTTCCGAATATTAAGAAGGAGGTTGTCTGGCTATACGTAAGCGAGCAGCGCTCCTTAAAAAAGGTATGTATTTGGATTTTTCGGGAATGGTCTGAGGAGACATTGTTTATGGTCTGAGGAGACCTTTTGATTTATTAACAGAATTTGTGGTGTTTTTGGAGTTTTTTTTTTTTTATTGTCGTGTGACAGATTATGGCAGATTCAGTGGTGGTGGTGCCATTTTTCCCACCAACTCATCAGAAAATCCAGGACTTCAAATCACCACAGTGAAGTTGGATGGTTCTAACTATTTGATTTGGGCACAGTCTGCCAAGATATTCATTAGTGGCAAAGGCAAGATTGGCTATATTACTGGTTCTAAGAAAGAGCCAGCTGAGTCAGAGAAGGCATGTCCACAGTGATTTGCAGATAACGCTATGGTTATGTCTTGGCTAGTCAATTTGATGCAACCAAACATAGCTGTTGGCTATATGTTTATGAAAACTGCTAAGCAGATTTGGGATTCAGTTCAACGCACTTATTCTCAAAGGTAGAATAATGCACGAATTTTCCAGCTGGGGCGAGATATCACCAGGATTTCTCAGGGTGACTTGATAGTTTCAAGTTACATCGCCAAGCTTCGTGCTATTTGGGAGGAGATGTCATAATATGATTCCTTTCCCTCTTGGAAGCTTCCAGATGATGCAGTTTTATATGCAGGAATTGTGGAGAAGAATCGAGTGTTTCAGTTTCTTACCGGGTTGAATGACGAGTTTGAGTATCTCGTGTTCATTTATTGGGCTTATCTTCATTCCCTACTCTTGAGGATGCATACTCCTATGTGTTGTCAGATGAGAGCCGCCGAACTCATCCATTAGGTGTTGCTTCTGTTGATCGTTCTGCTATGGCAGTTCGGGTTCCCAACCTTTCAGGAACTTCACCATCTCGGTCAGTTCAGAGCACTACCACCAGTCCTCCTCTGGGACGACAACGTGGACGGTGTGACCATTGCGGAAAAATTGGTCACATCAAATCTCGTTGTTATGCTCTACATGGACGTCCACCGCAACAAAAACAACAGCCTCGATCCTCTGCACATTCTGTTACACAACCAGTCTCGTTGTCAACTCCTGACAACCCTGCCTCGACATCTTTTGCCACAGTTACCTTGACTCAAGCTGATTTGGACAAGTTCAAGCAATTCTTCAACCAAATGGAGGCATCATCTCAGCCAACCTCCACTTATGCCCACTCAGGTACTATTGCGTCTGCAAATAGCGTATCTACATCTTCAACACCTTGGATCATTGATTCTGGTGCTTCAAACAATATGACTAGTATGTCCTCACTCTTCCAATCTTATAGTATCTGCTCTTGCCAACGCAAGGTCCGCCTTGCTGATGGCTCTCCATCTTCCATTGCTGGGAAGGGTCACATATCAGTTACTCCTTCATTAACTTTGTCAAATACACTTCATGTTCCAAAGTTGACTACAAATCTTATTTCTGCTAGTAGCGTTACCAAACAATTAAATTGTAGTGTAACGTTCTTTCCCTCTCATTGTATTTTTCAGGATCTGGTGTTGAAACGGACGATTGGCAGTGGGCGTGAAGTGGATGGTTTATACCTGTTGGATGCTCCTTTGTCACCTCAAGCACGTTTAGCTTCATTTTCTGATATTGTTTCATCTGATAAAGCCCAGCTTATGCGTTAGCACGTGTCTAAGACATTTCTTTTGGTTATTTGAAACATTTATTTCCGTCCTTATTTTATAACGTGGCAGTGTCAGATTTATCCTGTGAAACATGTCATATGGCTAAACATGTTCGTTCCAATTATCCTGCTAGTAGTAATAAATCTGTTTTAACACCTTTTGATCTTGTTCATTCAGATGTGTGGGGTCCTTGCTCAATTACTTCTAGTCTTGGATTTCGATATTTCGTGTTCATTGATGATCATAGTCGTGTTACTTGGGTTTATCTTATGAAAACCAAAAATGAGGTATAAACCATTTTTAAAAATTTTATGACAATGGTTCAGACTCAATATAGTCGTACCATTAAAAAATTCCGATCTGACCAGGGTACAGAGTACACTTATGGGGAGGTACAACGGTTATGTACAGAATTTGGGATTGAGAATCAGATGGCTAATGTTAAAACTCCTCAACAGAATGGTCGTTTTGAGAGAAAGAATCGCCACATCCTTGACTTAGCCAAAGCAATCTGCATTGGCATGAATGTTCCCCAGTCTTTTTGGGGAGATGCAGTTCTTACCGCTATTTACATCATTAATAGGACTCCTTCTAGGATTCTTAACTTTGCAGCCCCACTCTTAATCTTACATCCCAATTCATCTCTTTTTTTTATTCCTCCGCGAGTCTTCGGGTGTGTGTGCTTTGTTCAGCAGTTGGGGCAAACTCGTACAAAGCTTGACCCCAAGGCTTTGAAGTGTGTGTTTTTGGGCTATTCTCATTCTCATTCTCAAAAAGGTTATAGGTGTTACCATCCTCCCCGTCGTCGGCAGTTTATATCCATGGATGTTTCTTTCTTTGAGCATACACCATACTATAGTGGTTCAGTTGGTTCTCAGAGTGAATGGTTCCCATTGAATATAATGGATGATCACCTTCTTCCGTCTTCAACTCCTCTACCATTACCTGTTTCTTCTTCTATGATTCCTCCTAATGATACCCCTCCAACAGCGGGAATTGTTCCTTTTTCACAGGTTTATAGTCGGAGACAACAGGTACAAGCTTCTACTCCCACGATCGACTGCCCTGCTCCTTCGACACTAACTCCGCCTTCTCAAGCTATTGTTTTGCTTGATGATCGCCCCATTGCCCATCGAAAGGGTAAACGTTCTTGTACTTACCCTATTTCTAATTTTGTTTTTGATTATGCTCTCTCACCCTCCTATCGAAGTTTTCTTGTTTCTGTTGCCTCGGCTCCTGTTCCTTCTAGTGTTGCAGATGCACTAGCACAACCTCAATGGCGTGATGCTATGACAGAAGAACTACAAGCACTTGAGAAAAATCAGACTTAGGACATGGTTTCGCTTCCTATTGGACGAAAGGCTGTGGGTTGTCGTTGGGTGTTTACAGTTAAGCATAATCCAGATGGGTCAGTTGCTCGTTACAAGGCTCGATTAGTTGCCAAGGGTTATGCTCAGACTTATAACATAGATTATCAGGAGACTTTTGCCCCTGCTGCCAAGATGAATACCATCCGTGTATTATTTTTCGTTGCTGCAATTCGATCTTAGCCTCTATTTCAGTTAGATGTCAAGAATGCCTTTCTTAATGGTGATTTGCAGGAGGAGGTGTACATGGTTCCTCCTCCGAGCTTTCGTTCTCCTACTCATTCTGGTATGGTATGTCGTCTTCGTCGTTCTCTGTATGGCCTCAAGGAGTCTCCTCGAGCTTGGTCTGATCACTTTGGCACTGCTATGCTCAAGTTTGGTTTTCATCAAAGTGCAGCTGATCATACCTTGTTTTTACATCATTTAGGCGGTAAGACAGTTGCTCTCATTGTGTATGTCGATGATATTATTCTTACCGGTGATGATACTACCGGAATTAATGAGGTTAAGAGCTATCTTGGCCGTCAGTTTGAGATTAAGGATCTTGGCCCCCTACGGTACTTCTTGGGCATTGAGGTGGCTCGCTCCAAGTCTGGCATTTTCATCTCTCAACGCAAGTATGTTCTTAACTTGCTTTCTGCTTCTGATCAGCTTGGCACTCGTCCTGCTAATACTCCGATTAAGCAGAATCATCGGTCAGCTGATTCTGAGGGGGAGTTGTTGTCAGATATTGGTCAGTATCAACGACTTGTAGGGAAGCTCATCTATTTATCCATGACTCGACCTGACATTGCCATGCCGTGAGTGTCGTGAGTCAATTCATGCACTCTCCTCGTACCCCACACTTTGATGCAGCTATTCGGATCCTTCGCTACTTAAAAGGGTGTCCAGGCCATGGTATTTTGTTTGCCAATCATGGTCACTTGCGTGTTGAGGCTTGGACAGATGCTGATTATGCAGGATCAATTTCAAATAGGAGGTCTACTTCAGGTTATTGTACCATTATTGGTGGTAACTTGGTTACTTGGCGCAGTAAGAAGCAAGATGTTGTCTCTCGATCTAGTGCAGAGGCAGAGTATAGGGCTATGGCTCTTGGGGTAGGTGAGTTGTTTTAGCTGAAAACCTTGATGACAGACTTGTGCCTTCCAGTGTCGCTTCCATTCTCACTCTACTGCGACAAGAAGTCTGCCATTAGCATAGCAGCAAATCCTGTTCAGCATGACAGGACTAAGCATATAGAGGTGGACCGTCACTTCATTCGAGAGAAGATCATCTCTGGTCAAATTTGCACTCCATTTGTCACAAGCTCTCAGCAGCTTGCAGACATTCTTACAAAGGGCATCAGCAAGATTGTGTTTGAGAATGC